GTTTAGTTATGAGTCCTTAATCACAGGAGGACCTTTTCTCACTCTCCGGCAATAAACAGCGAGATTGGGTGAGGGAGAAGATGTTGTTGCCTCTGGTCACAGATAGAGAGTGCCATCGTGACAGCACCCATGCTCTCTATAGCTTTTATCTACCTCTGCTTTTTATAGTCAGAGGCACTTCATGTGATCCTTCCTGGTGCGCTCAGAGCATGAGAAAGGCAAAGAAGCTGTCTCTGAGGAAATAGGCAACTTCACAACAGATAGCACATCAGGGAGTGCAGAGGGGGGGGGGGAGCCTGAGTATGCAAACTTGGGAGTGAGAGTAAGTAAGGTGAGCTCGAAGGCCAAGCCAGGCGATGGCTTAATGTTTATACACAGGCGGAATTTGGAAAGGAAGTAATTATGAAGCACAGTTTGAAGTTGATGAACAATATGTTCCTTAGGGTTGCAAGGGAGAGAAGAGGGGGGAAGTAGAGGGATGGAAAGAGGGATAGGGGAGCAGAAGGAGGTAATCTGTCATGCTTCCACTCCCTGTAAATCAGACGTCCATATTTAGTTGGAAAGAGGGAAGGCCTAACAGTAATGTAAACAAAGCCTGGGGGAGGGAAGAAGGCAGGGAGAGTTTATCATCAACACTAATGTTTGAACGGCCAGCACGGCAGTCAGCATGGTCTTTAGGAAGAGACAACGGAGCTGATAGAGCACAACTGAAGGTAGAGAGGTAGCTTTGTCAATTTTCTTGTCTAGTCCATTTTAGATTTCGAAAACAGGTTTTTATTCTTGAGATCTCTGAGAGAATTTCGGAGCAATGATGAGCAGGCCCAGATCCTCACCCGTTTCATATGTCATGTCACACAAAAGTCTTTAAACAAACCTGACGACAACATTTTTCAAAGGGAGAGCGAGCAAAGAGGGAGCGATCGCTTGACCACTGACCATCTATCTATTCATCATGGACGACCTGTGCTCCGAGAGCTCCGAGGAAGAACAATCTGAAGTCGATGAGACCCCCCGGGAACAAAAGCTGTCCCGGCTTCCCGTCATTCAGCTCATGTCCAGGACCATAGGGGGTTCCACGGGAGGATCTCCAAAGGTTTCACCCAAGGATTCGCCGCGCGGGTCTCCTCGAAATTCCCCGCTGCTCTTCAGGAAGCTGCTGATGAACCGCAGCATCAACCTCCAGAGGCGCCGCTTCACCCTGGCCCACACCCCCAGGTAGAGTTTATGGCTGCAGCCAAGATGATATAGATGACAGTTGTTGCACTTTGCATTATTCTCACTCAAAATAATGTAAAAAAAAAAAAAGCTTATTTTTCTGCAGATTTTGAAGATGTGTTAATATTATGCAAGTTCTGCTCCAAATCCACCAACTAGGATTCTTCTCATTTAAAAGCCATCTATTCTTATCGAATGTTCACATGGATGATGCATATGGAGGTGGGTGGGGGGCTATGTAAGAGTTGTTTGGTGCTCTTTGCTGTTCCTATTGGTATTTGGTGAAGAAGAACAGCCTTATGACCATCTTTACTCCACTCGGTTGGAGATGTTGATGCGTTCAAGTGTATTTTTGTCCAAGTGTTTCACACCACAAAAATGGTTGCCCTGAAGCTTATCTTATTAAAGTAAGACTGACCACAAGATGTTCTTATATTCATGCATTTCAGTCATGCCTGCTCTCCTCTGCCAGGATAAAACTAGCCTTTTTTTGGTAAGATCTAATCCAAATTTTGTTCTCATAATGTGCTAAAGTTTCATTTCCATAAATAGACCTGCCCTTATTTACTGACTGCACATAGGTGCGTGGTTCCTGCTTGTGTTTAGCTTTTTCTTCTTTCTATGAAATCTGCTAATTATAGAATTCATTCACAGCGTAGCTGCTGATGAGCATTCAGTTTATATTAAGAAACGCTTTTCCAAACCCGCTGTCAGCTTTAGTGCTGAATTACCTGCAGCCAGGAGTGTTTTTCCTAAGCTTTGTTCACCTTTTGCTTTCCATCATGTCAGTAAACACAGCTCAGCGACATCCGTGTTGTCACAGGATCAGCAGTTTGTTGTTCCACTTGTTAAGGACACGCTTCTTTCTTTCAGCAACGTCTTCTTGTTTAACAGCCGCACTTTTTAATCGCTGCACTCGCTGCGAAAGCACACCTCAAACAACTGGATATTTCCTGCCGAGTTTTAAACACCTTAAATTTATTCTTCCGTTGCAGCTGTCATAAATCTCTTTGGAAACAACGCAGCAGTCTCTCTATCAGGCAGCGCTGCTCTGGTACCTGTGGATAGCTTTAGTTTTATGATCCGTTATTGAATCACGTCAGGCTCATGATTTTATTCTTTTCAGTGCAATTTAAACATTTACCTAGTCCCCCAATTAGATTGCATTTGACAATAACTTCTCGAGATAGGGAGAATAAACAGGACTCTGACGGGACTGTGTATTTCTCTTCCCTCACACCTGTTGGTGTCCTCAAAAGAAGAGCCTGTTGTGGAAAATTGTAAAGCACTTTAAAAAGCAAATGTCTCCAGTGTGTACTCTGAGCATATAAACACTCAGATGTAGGCACCATGCAAATCGGCGCTGTTGCACGGTGTCTCCAGCTTGTTGCACCGATGTCAGGCACATCAACCTCAGTGAAATCAGATTAAAAGCTCGAGAGAAACTCTAGCTGGTGCTGTAAATTCCTGCCTTACTTTTATTGGCAGGAGCATTCCTACGAGAGCCGCGTGCCCTGTAGGAAATCTAAACATGCAGCATTTAAACGGTGGTGTATTTGACATTGGTGGATATGTTTCTATTTCAGAGTTTATTGTAAACTGTTTAATTGAGCTTGGGGTGTCTGTTAAAAATCTAAATATTAGAGGAAAAGAAGTCAAGTGGACTTCAAGGCTCAGTCTTGATTGTCAGATATCTGGAGGGCAGCGCAGATACTCAGCATGTCAGGCTTTGTTTTACACAGCTCTGAGGCCAGGCCATTGAGGAAGTTTCCGCCTGCAGTGTCACAGCTCAAATAAATGGATGGACATGAGTTATTGCAGGATGACTGGCAAGCAGGAAGAATTAAACAAACTGGGGGTCCGGCGGAAAATTAATGTCGCAGGCCGCTCAAATATAGAACGTGCGCGCAAATTTATTTTCACTTTGTGTCTAAGTTGATGAAGTCTCTTTTTCCCCTCCAGAGACACCGAGTCAAAAGGATTTTTTTTTTCCACGAAAAACTTTTAAACATTCAATAAACTTTTTTTTTTAAGCCAGCTCTGTAATGACAGTTTTTTTTTTCCATTCAGTGTTTCAGTCACGTTATCATAATGGAAATAAAAACTGTCCAGAAAACACAAACACGCAAATTATTGCTTTATTTATTGGATGTATTCATTTCTTGAGCAATGTAATCAGTCAGGGGTTTTTAAAATAAATAAAGCAGCGTTATCACTTGCAACTAAAGTGGTTACAGTTTGCAGATCGTCGACTGTATTTCTTTTTAGAGAAGTGGCTGTGTAGACAGGTGACAAATTAAAGGGGGAAAAACCCAACAAACTAAATCCTAGCAAGGTGTTGTGCCACCATGATCTGCAAGAGCACTGTTCAAGTCTCTGGAACTGATCCCTCCTTCGGTGCTTTGTTTTGATGATAATACTGGAAAGCTTTGAACTTTCCCACAGGTGCTAAACTGCACAGATCCGGTGTGAAGGGGATAGGATGTGATTGTTTTCATGCTCCCTCAAGCCCTGCAGATGAGAGCACTTTCATAATGGAAGAGATTACTCCTCTCAGAATACACATTTTCATTTGTCACCCATTTATAGGTGATGATCCTGACTTATTCCTTTCAATTTGAGCCACTGAAGTAATAATCCTGGGTCACTACTTCCATTAAAACATGGGTACATTGTTTATTTAAACCTTGAGCTTCTGCATATGGGTCATCTGCTCAACGCAGTGAGCTGCGCTCGCAGCCTCGACAGAGGTGTATGTTAAAATAGCAGAAGAAAAAGGTGTGGCGACGCTGAGGATCCTCAACATGCATTTCCCCTTCTCTTCCACTAGAGGACATTAAGTTGTGAGATGCAGGCAGAGAGCCTCTCCGGAGGATGCATTTGTGTTTCTCTGATGGATCTGAGTCGGGGAAAGAGACATTTCCTTTGCTGGAGTTTGACTCTGTGGGGACTCAAATATTTTTAGGGGGGAAATGAGATGAAAAATGTTTTTCTAGCCTGATGCTGTTGAGAAATGTTGTTACTGGATCATAGAAATTTTATTTTCTTTCTTTCCTTTCAGTCTTGGACTGATAAGTATTAAGAGTAATGGATGGATTACAAACAGTCTTAAGTTTATCGATGCTCCAGCAGAAGGTTTAGCAGCCTGTAGTTGTTTAAGTTTTGCCTTTCGATTGTTTCTTTTTTTCTGAGAACTCTTCACTTCCAAGTCGCTTCTTAGTTAATTAGTTATTGGAGTAATGACCCCAAAACTGTTTTCCTTCTCATTAGGAAATATTTCCTCTTTTACTAGAAAACTTCTCTGAAATATTTCCACAATTACATGTTTCATTGTACCCCCCCAAATAAATAAATAAAATTAAATAAATAAAAAAAGATGGATTTATATTTATGATTTTAAAATCATAAAAGCTCAATATTGGAAAAGGAAACCCAGTTTTTAGTTGTTGTTGTTTTTTTCACAAAAAGAAAAATGATGCACTCTTAAAATTCTTCTTTTTCACTTTAAAACATAAAAAAATACATTTTTAACACAAAGTACCTTTAATATTCGTCCACTTTCTCAGGCAGTGACCATCATTGTCCACACCCTCTCTCTTTGTGCAAGTTGCTCTCACTCACTCTCTCCCTCTTTACCACGCAGCACCCTACCCACCTCTCTCTCTCTCTCCCTCCCTCTCTCCCTCTCTCTCTCTCTCTCTCAGTGGAGACAGTGTTGTTGTTTGTTGTTTTAAGCCCCGGTTTGGTCCCACCACTCTCAGGAGAGAAGAGAAGAGAGAGCAGAAGTCTGTTATGGCCCGCTGACTGGGACTACATGGGACAGCCCACTCCAGGGAGCATCTGATGGGATTATAACACTCTTTCCAGCTTTTTTCTTTCTTCCTCCTGCTCAGAATAACTCTGCTAATTCTGTTGGTAGTCCACTTTCACAGAGGCAAAACTGTGTTGAGGTTGTCGGACCTGACTTTTAAAGATAAAGAATGCCTGGAGGTTGTTGGTGAGGAATTCGGCTTTGACAGTTAGAAGCTCACTTGGACGAATTCAAGCTTGGTGTTTCCTATTTAGGAGTATGAAAGAGAGAGAGAGAAAAAATACAAGAGAAGCGTTTATCTTGGCACATCTGTGGTGAGCCGAAAGGAGAACCAGTGAGGAATTAGTCCCAGATGAGCACTGACAGCTGACACCATCCTCAGTTTCATTAGATTTGTTTCGGCCCCATACTTTCACATACAGTGAGGCGATATGCTAACTCGCTGTGCGATAGGTCTTTAACAGCCAAGACTCTTTGCCTTTTTAGGCTGTTCACGTGCACACACTCTGAGCTGAACCTTTCTGATTTTCCTTCCAAACAAATGGACATATCTGTACAGCTGGGACCCAAACCAGAACAGCCAGTCAGTTTTTTCTTTCTTATGCACTTTGGTTCATGGATTTTGCACTGAGGTGGAAGTGAATCATTTTTAACAGTTAGGTTTTATGTGATAAACGCAGACTCAACAGGCCTGGCTTATTGTTGCTTTCACTTCCATTCTTGCTCCTGTCAGGTGCAGCTGATGAGTTTTGCTGTTTTGCATGTTGCAGTTGTTTTGCATTCGTCCTTCTTGGATCTGTTTTTCCTGCTCCGTCCCGTCAAGGGAACCTGCCTCCCGATGCCATAACTTGTGACGGCAGTCGACATAAAGGAATTTGTGCAGACTCTCTTTCTGATTCCGGACAGTATGGGGGCTTCGCTCGAACGGCAGAAGTTATTTTTCTTTATTGACGCAGAAGCTGGTGCTTTGACGATTCTCTAAACTCAGCCAAACTTTTTTTTTGAACCCGCCAATAAAATGATGAACAAGGATTCTCGCTTTCCAAGGAAGATGCACAGCAACTTCTCCACCCGCAGGCACTCATGCATTGGGTATGTATCCAGTTGAGCGTCAGGGGTACTGTGATTGCGACGATCTTTACTGATGGGCAGTGAAGGCAACACGAGTTTGCAGACATTTAGGAAATATTGGAAGCTGGCTTGTTTCTGTTTCTGGCTGTATATAAAACACAAGCTGATGGGTAACAATTAGACACCTCGTCTAATTGTTAGACGAGGTGTCTAATTGACACCTCGTCTCTGTCATCGCATCATATTGATTTGATCATCTGCTCGTTCTTTGTTGTGTATTTTTTTTCCAGTAAAATGTATTTGACTCAGTGCATGTAATGCTGAATCTGCACCTGTGTGCTGTTTAAAACTCTGGATTAACTTAAATCCAGTCTAATGCCCGTTAAAACTAACGCAAGTGGTTGTGTGTGTGCCAGAGCCAGGGGCTGTTGCTGTTGGGGTGCAGGCCTTGGGTGGCATGCTGGATCAATGTCTATGTTCTCTGACGTCTCTCTTTGTTGGGGGACTCAAGCCAAGCTGTGCTGTCTGCGTTAGGCACGGTATCATCATCATGCGATGCAGGACTCTTATGTTTTATAAAAGCAATGTCCATACGAGTGGCAGATGTGGGAGACAACATCTGTGCTTTTATGTAGTCCTTTAAATAATCTGTCAAATCTTACAGTACAATCGTGATAACTTGCTGGGGAGACTGATGACGCGAACACCCGGCGTAATTGGAGATGTGCGTAATCGGGAAAAATGTCAGATCTACTAAATCTGTGAAAAAGACCACGGAGGAGACTTTGTTTCAATTTACAGACATAAAAAAACAAAAGAAAACAAAACAGAGATTTGAAATTGTTAAAATAAGAACTTTGATGCACACCGTGGGGAACCTGGGGACCTAAATGACTCCAGATGTGGTGGGGAGGGTTAATCTTCTTACTAAAAACACCCATTTTGGAGCTGTTGTGGACTCTTTTTTTTTTTACAGTGCAGTATGCAGTGCAGCAAACTTTTCTGAACTCTGGGCATAAGGCATGTGCCTCACGAGTGTCATCCGAACTCCTCCAGCTGTGAGCCTGTTTGGATCATATGAGGAGATCAAAGCAGGAGATTTAAGACCACAGCCAGAAATACAGAAGCACAGACGGGAACAGAACAAGCCTCTATTCTCTTATTACCTGATTTGTACATTGAACTTTCTGATTGAAAAAAAAAAAAGAAACCCTGAAAGCATTTAGGAAGTTTCTCTTTTTAAGCACAAGTAAAGACGGCGACAACTTTATTTATTGTGCGATAATGAGAAGATGCCATTGTGACAGGAGTAATAGTTCTGAAATTAATTTAGATAGATATTTGAAATCTTTAGGAAAAATAATATCTCTGCCCTCTTGCCCCACACACACACGCACACACACACACACACACACACACATACACACACACAAACATTTACACACACACACACACACACACAGACAAAGGAGTCTGTGTTATCCAAATGTGACCATCACAATAATGACACTCTCATCGTCTTTTGTACTGACAGTACCAGGACACTATTCATCTTCCCCCCCCTCCCCTCCCCTTCACTCCTTATGACTTTCTCCACAACACACAACACATTTTTATGGCTTCTCTGGTCGTGTGTTGCATAAAAAAACCCTCATCGTGTCGCTGCATTAAGCGAACCTAGCCGGAGATGGGAGCTCTCAGACGGTATCATGAGAAGATAGTTTGAGGAGACGCCATTAATGTGAAGCAGGGAGTGATGGGGAGAGACATGGTGAGGTGAAAGTAAGAGATACAGCAGCAATGGCTGACCGAGTGGGAAAAGAAATAATCTAAAGAAATGGGGGGGAAAGGCACAGAAGAGAGGGTGGTGAAGGAGCGATAGGGTGCTTGGGTGGAGATAGGGCGGCTTTTAGCACACAGATAACGAGTGCAGCAGTAGATTAAGAGAGACAGCGGGCTCCCAGGCTGAAAACACAATATAGCGATGCTCTGTAGACATGCTTAGAAATGTTGGAAAGAATAAAAAGGAAAACAAAAAGTGCCATGTAAGGTCACTCAACCAAAGGTTAACAGTGTCAATGTCAGAGGTCCCAATATAGCTGCTCGTCCCCCCTCCACAACAAACACACGCCCAGATTAGTCAATAGGGCCTGTGTGAAGCTGCTCTGTGCGTCACTGCTGTACTCCATATTTTCAGCATGACTGATTTCCCCAATCGCCTCCAGAGCCTCATCGATTCCCGAGCAGCGGCCTGGGACAGCACTAACGCTGCCGAAACTCAGCACCAGCTGCTCTACTGTATTCACAGTGCGAGAGGACGTAACAGGCCTTTCTTTTATCCAAAGTTCAGAGAGGATCATTTGGCGAACAAAAAAAACAAAAAAAATAAATAAATAAATAAAACAACTTACATGATTGTGTTCCAAGAGAAAGTTTAGATAATTACTAATGAATATTGGCATTTCTTAAAAAAAACCCACAAACTTTTTATTCCAACACAACCTGTGTGTCGACAATACCAGGCCGAATGGTTTGCTACCACTAGAGGGGGAAACCGACTAAGTTATACCGAGACGTGCTGCAGAACGAGCGAGAGTTCAGTGAACGATTGGGAGCTGTGCGCATTTGATGGATTATAACTGTGTTTATAGGCTTTTTTAGTTCCACTAAACAGACTCCATGTTGTGATTGTGTAGTGATGCTGTATTCGCTACATTAGATTACGCATTGCTCTGTGTGACAAGCTTTTTTTCTTTCAAATTCACACTTTTACTAATTTTACTACTTTTATTTCTGAATCTCTAGATGAGTCGTTACACATCGAGGGCCATCGCGTTTATTCGTATTCAGTTTGAAGGTTTTAAGAGTCTAAAGCACTGCCAGACAAAAAAACCCAAAACTGATCCTCACACGGACACTTTTTACTAAAAGGCTGCTTTCCAAACAAAGGTCAACTCTAACAGTGTAGTTACAGGATGATCGGCTGCATGATACCAAAGCTGAGATTTTTTTTTTTTAGTTTCTAAAAAAAGTACATTTATTGTTCAGTGAGGTATTAATTTACTGTATGTATATGTGTAACTAGTTTTTTCACAAACCTTAGTGCAACAATTGTACCCACTACAAACATGGACGTATTTATTGAATATACGAGGGTCACATAGTCGGCCAGAGCGATGACACTATCCTTTCTGTCTGTTCAAAGAAGTTTAGCTACACATTTAACGTTTGAAATGTGATGTTATTATTACTAAGAAAAAGAAGTGCATTTCCAACAATATGTTTCAGTCTTTCCACGTCACATATAAATGCTGCTGTAGGAAATGAAAGAAATGTGTCAGCACGACTGTTTGGACTTAAACTGTAGGAAATAGATATGTAACTGTAGGAAATAGATATGTAACTGTAGGAAATAGATATGTAAAGTTACAGGAGAGAGTTCTGGTAACTCATTGGTTGACTGACTTGTAATTAGAAAACTAAGAAAAGGTCTGTATCAGCAGAAAATGCTATAAAACGTGTGAAAATACAGTAAAAGTCCACATGTTTAAGCCCTCGTTTACATTTCCTAAAGCCATGGAGTGGGCCAGATTTGAGTCTTTAATGGGCCAATTTTAATCCCCAGGGCTTAAGTTTGCCGTCCCTCTCTAAGGGCGTATGCAAAGTCCCTTTTTTCTTATTTATTTATTTGTTTTTGGCAGAAATAAGATTATTTTTTTTCATACATTCCTAAACATTCCTATGTTTTTATTCCATAATGACATCCTTGGTAAAGCAGTATTCACCTGAGTGTGCACACAAGCTTATTATTGTGAGTTTTGTGTGTATGCATTTCTGGGTTTTTCATATGTGTGCGTGTCTTTGTTTGCGCAAGTTTGTCATCCACCCAATCCTCAAATAAAATGAGCCTCAAAAGCAAGCCGTCGTGCTAGCAGATGGCAGCCTAATGAATCATGAGGTGACACACTAGCCTTTACTACAGTACACGGTGTAGCATGACGTTGACATCACAGAGACGCCGAAAGTTAAATATAGGCCACAAGCAACAGCCAAAGCCTGACACCTGGTGCTGCTTCTTTGTTACATGCTCAATATTTTTGATGACATTTAGCCTGTGAAGAAATAAGTTGAACTGTCTGTTTTTTGGGGAGGGGTTTTGTGTTTTTTGCGGGGAGGCGGTGGTGTCAGTTTTGCAGTTCAGGTAGCTGTGAAGATGCGTCATTGATACGTATTCAGCAGCATGTAACTCCTTTAAAGGAAGCAGTTACTTTTGTGAATATTCCTTCCTGGTGATCCTGTTACATGCCGTGTGTGTGTGTTTGTGTGCAGCTGCTTTAATAACACTGCTAAACTTTGCTGTGCCAATCTCAGTCAACACATTTAATTTACGACAAAAAAGTGTATAAAAGCTTTATTTAGAACATTTCCACTTGATTTGACATGAAGTCTGGGTGTGAAGGTGTGTTCACACCCAGATGTTCTGCACCGGCAAATTTAGGAGGACAGCATGTGACGTCTAACATCTGTGTGATGCGATCAGTGCAGGTTACTTACAGAGCATTTCCTTGCTTCTACAGCGCAAGATATAGAAGAACAAACTGTTTGCAACCATCGTGGCATCTGTTTTAATTTTGTTGGAATGAGATCATGATAAGCATTGAGCAATGAGAGGGCATTACTTAATTGCTTTAAACTCTGTTTTTGGAAACAGTGTGGCTTCCACACATACCCACATTTTCAATTTGAAGGTCATTTTTCACTTGATTGAAGCTTCAATCGCCTATTTGGACGAGATGTTATGCAGGTGTGTAGATCTGTCATCTCTGGATGACAAAGACAAATAAAATGTACATTTTTTGGAGAAATGTGTCCAACAGATTCTGCAATTTAAATATGTCCTTTTTTGCATTTTTTTAAATAAATATTTTGGGGTTTTTCATTTAAACATCTGGTTAGTTTTAGCTACTTTTACAAATCAGAGACGGTGTGTTCGCTGACAGTCGGCTACTTTGACACACAGT